GCGATTAACTCAGCAACCAAATAGCTGGCCTCTTGTGCTTTGTCAGAGACACGTAGAGACGAAAGCATACGTTGACTCTGCTTCTCATTTTGTGATTTCAGTCTCTGGAAATACTCAATGTCCTTGGAATTATAAGAAGGATGTTTTGTGCTAAAGTGTCTTGCTAGTTTACTTGGCACCATTCCTTCGTTGGATAATTTTTCTCTGCAGATTAGGCATTCTGGCGTCGGGCAGTCTTTATCCCCAGTCCAGGAGAAACCATACCGAAGGTAGCTTTCGCTGTACTGTCTGCTTTTAGACTTCTTTTGCACTGCTGTTCCATCATGTTCTGTCATCCCTGCCTGTGTTGTTGAGATCTGGGGTGCTTCTTTATTTATTGTCACTACGTAACGATCCATCTTGAAATCATTTGGCGCGAGGATAAAAAGCTGCTCTGCACACCGTAAACAATGACGACTGACGTAAATCATGAGAAGCTGTTTAATATTTCTAAATCTGAGCAATATATGTTTTATTAGCTTATGAACTCCATTGTACATGTAATAAAGTGTATATGAAGTGAAGTTTATTAAGTGAGAAAAAAATGTGGAACATAAAAATACGTTTTTTTGCGGCACACTTGGGCAGTGCTCGCGGCACCCCAGTGTGCCGCGGCATACCGGTTGGGAACAACTGAGATAGAGCAGACTGTTGAGATTTCCAATCTGCCTGTTTTACACGCTTTGACCAGCAGGGGGTTTGTGTTCAAATGAAGCCCATGATGAAGCCTCATGAGATGAACCCTTTGCGAACCAATTGCTGGAAAGCTTCAAAGCTTCATAAGGCTTCATCTCGCCATCACTACCTGCTTGCCACCTAAGACGCACTTAGTGACCAGTACTGCTACTGAGCCGGGAGGAGAAGTAGCTTTGATGAGATGTAGCTTGAGCCCTGCCTGCCTGCAAGAGGGGTTGTGGTTGAAGCCGGAAGTGGGTGAAGCTTCGCAAGCGATGAGGGCCCGTTCCGGAAGCGCCGCATTTGAGCGGCCCTGATGCCAGTGATGCCCTCTCGAGAGACTGAAGGCGTGCGTCAATTGTTTGCCTGAAGTAGCCCATTTCCATTAACCGGAGGAACTTCCGTGGAGCCCGATATCCTTGTCTTTTCCTTCTGCGTCCGGGTTTGCGGGGTGGCCGGCTAGAACCGCTAGCCAACTGGGGAATGCCGCCTGTAGCTTAATCCGCAAGACTGCGGAGCTGATGAATATATACCCGGAGCTGGGACGAAGCCCTGCTGCTGCTTGCGCGTTGACACCTGGAAGACAGCTGATGGAAAAGGGGAGAGCATATATAGAGGGATTAACAGGTGCGATGATTAGGCTTGTGAATGGAGGGAAGTGATAGGTTAGCTGAGGAGTGGCGCTCCCTATCCTTTAGTGAAGGGAGCGAGTATTGCCATGACGCGCAATACAAAGTGATAGGTCTTCCTGCCTGAACTTGCGCTGAGCTTCATTACAGAGGTCATTGATGACGTCATACAGCACATCCATGAATATTACAGACCTTTTGCAATTATAATTCTAGTTATTTTCTCTATCAACTCATGAGATTGAAAAGTATGGTGTGAGAAGCCGAACTCAGCCTGCACTCTGAATGTAACCCTGTTACAGCCGCGGACACTAAATTCTCCTCGAGCACGCTGAAAGCTATCAGGTATATAATAGGACATCGAGGAGAGGATCAATCTGAGGTGGACAGATCAAAAGAGTCGACCAACAAAATGAGACAGACGACATGAAGTCAGAGAATTGCCTGTGTGATAAAGAAAATATGTGGTGAAAAATAGGGACAGAAGGAAGAACGGGCATGGGAGCAGAAACAATGAGCTGGAAATAGGAAGCTGTGTTCTTTGGCTGCTATTTATTCCGCCACACTCCAAAATGAATAACTCCTGCCTTATCACGCCATCAGCTGTAATGTGTTTCTCTGACTCATCCCCGTGTTGTCCTCAAATAACTACTGCTTTGTCAGGCATCATGCTTGGGCTGCCTTGTGAAAACATTTTAGCTTCTTGGTAAATCGTCCTAGTTTTGCCTTCGGTAAATTTGGTAACACCTTTCCACGTGTGATCACCCCAGTTCCAAGGTTAACGCGATTAGGACCTCTGCACTGCCCCCAGGCACACGGGCCGGAACGGCCAGAAGGAACATCCCATAAACAAGACTTTCCTCGGCTCTTTCCAACTTACTGCTTCACTGAGTTCCCAATGAAGCCGAGCATGAGACTCACGATTACATGCACTCCATGCACGAAAAAAAGCAACGAGGGCAAAAGTCTACACAAGAAGGTGTGAGGAAACATCGGCAGATACTTAACTAGCAGTGCATTCCTCATGCATGAGAGCCACTGGACAAATGTTTTTCATGTTTGAATTAGCTTTATATGGCACGTCATGCACAGAATGCATAACAAAGTGCTTTAGAGTTCAGCCCCAAAATAAAAAACATAAGTAGAGACATCGTAAATATACACCAGGAGGAAGTGTAAGAAAACACACAGCTTCTAGTAATAGGCAAGATTCATAGATGGTATATGAGAAGTGGACATAGTCAACGTGACGTCACCCATTGTTTTGTGAACTATGGACGATGCTACAGTATGTTGGCTTTTAGGAACCAGATGGGCCCAAGTTTCATATTTGTAAATGCTTTAATGTTCAAAAAGGTCTTTATTCCTTAATTTGTTTTTTGGGCAAGGCGGGTTTGGCTCAGTCTGTAGGGTCTTTGAAGGGAAGGGTCGCCGGTTCACGTCCCGATTGGACCAAATACGGAGTGTGGACTGGTAGCTAGAGAGGAGCCAGTTCACCTCAGTGTGTGGGAGAGAAACCCCCTCTGGAGGGAACTTTGGGATTGTTGCATTTGCAGACCATTTACATGCACAGAAACCTATTTAACACTCTACAGGAAAGGGAAAACACCAACAAAACATAATAGGGAGTTTTTAAGTACAACCACGCTCTAAAGGACCTTTCTGGCGAAATATTATAATTCACATTCATTTTAGGTTTGCTGCTTCTAAGGCAGTGTGAAATTATTGAATATCTTAAAATTATGAAAAATGTGAGGCGAAGAGATTAAACTGACAACCTTTTTTATTAATCCAGCTTTCTTTAGATTGCTGATTCGCCAGCAGTTTGTCTTTCACTTTTATTGAACATTCCTAATATTTCTACCTTGATTTTTTTAGTATCTGTCATCATGATTGATTCCGTTTAAAAAATAGAAATGCAATAGATGGCTGTGAAGCTTGATACAGCTTTACTCTGCCTTTTCAGCAGTTGCAACCGAAAAGGGATTAAAACACGTCCTTCCAACAAAATAACTATCACAGAAGTATACATCCTGGATTCAACCGATTTTCAATTATCCATTGCCTGAAGCACAGCACATTGCAGTAAGACTATTGGATATGTTATTTCAACAAGCACGAGCTGAACAGTTCAGGTCCCCTAATGCTGCTTTCACTGCATGCGTTGTATTCCGTAAATACAAGCTACTGTGAGGTAATGACAAGGAGAGGATGGTTTTGCAAAATTATCTGCCACCTGAGTAACACATTCAGGAAGCGTGACAGCACAAGCAATAAACACAGCAGCTAATCCTCTTGCATAGCAGTCGTGGTATACAATTATTTTAATTAGTGAATAATGAATTGGAATAAAAAGTTATACTCACACTAATGCAACATAACACTGTTCTAACCGTAACATTGACAATTCATCAGTCACAGCTAATTTCCAGAAATATTTAGTGGAATGTGCTTTAATCACATTTCAACCTCATAGCACACAACAATGATTTCAGTAACACTAAGCATGCTGGGAATGTTACGTTTTAATTCACAAGTTTATTTAAGGATGGGTAAATACAATTTGACGGTTATTTCCCCCAGTGTTCCCATTGAACAGGTGTTAGCTTCAGCTAGCTAGTTTTCGCTGTATCACAGTCTTCTTCTCTCCCTGGCTGGTGCGCCCCAGTAATTTTCCACTGACCCTGCACCCCCCTCACACCTCAGGCCAGCCCCTCCCACCTCACCAGCACGCCTGGGCTCCCAGCTGCTTCTCATTGCTAATCAAGCCAGTATATAAACCTCTCTGGCTCGGTCACACATTCATCTTTCCAGCACTTGTTGCCGATCCTGCCTATCCCTGACCTGCCTAACTTGCCTGTGTCTCGGTACATTACTGTGTCACATTTTACGGGATAACTGGACACACTGTACATTTCAAAAAAAAAAATTATTTAATTTGTAATTCCCTACACTCTTAATGTTAATAATATCCTGCTTTATATTGTGTCTCAAGCTCAAATATGTTTTATTGTCCGAGTTTATAGATTTTTTACCTTCCCGGCCTACTGTATATTTTAGGGGTGCACCGAATGGGAAATTCTTGGCCGAAACCGATACCGAAAATAGGAAACAGTTGGCCGAAAATCGAAAATGATTAATAGAAATATATATATATATATATAATGTATACATTTTTTTACCAATGTTGTTCAGCTACCTGATTATGGAAAAAGACATGATTATGGCAAAACTTTAACTTAACTTAAATAATAATCACTATTATGGGTCCATAAAACATTTATTCAGCGCACTTTTGAATGCATACAGTACATTAATTCCAAGTCAAGTGCATTTTCTTTCTCCTGTAGGATAACTACACGAAGTGCATTCAGAACAAAGCCAAGGTGTTTTAAAACTGCATAAACATCTAGGCCAGGAGGCCTACACCAAAATAGTGTAAATAAAGACTGTAACAGCNAGACAGCTGATGGAAAAGGGGAGAGCATATATAGAGGGATTAACAGGTGCGATGATTAGGCTTGTGAATGGAGGGAAGTGATAGGTTAGCTGAGGAGTGGCGCTCCCTATCATTTAGTGAAGGGAGCGAGTATTGCCATGAGGCGCAATACAAAGTGATAGGTCTTCCTGCCTGAACTTGCGCTGAGCTTCATGAAGATGACATTTACGAAACGACCCGACCCCCTTGAAGATTGAATTGGCTGGCTCCAAGACTCACTCCAAGCTGATTACAGCTTCGCCTTACAGTATCAAGATCCCGAGTTTAACAACGAACTGTGTAACCTGACAGATATCTCGGAGCTCCCAGACAAGCCAACGATCAAAATCATCCCAACGATTTTACTTGTACCCGTCACTGCACCAACAGAAGCATGTCGTGATACAAGCAGCACGGCAGACACTGAAATCCGGTCCAACTCCTCTCTTGATAGAAGTTTGCAGTGGCCAGAAGAATTTGAAATCCCCAAATTTTCTGTGGATGTTGAGTACAGACTCCGTCAAACCAACCTGTTGCATCTCAGGGATGGAACATATCTCAAAGTGACAAAGGAGCTGAAGCATGACATCCTGTAGAAACTGTCTGAGACGATTTATACATATGATGCCTACCCCTCAAAGCAACATTTTGAAGCTGTAGCAAAAGCCTTAGTGCAATCACACCCATGTCTGAAAGAAGCAGGCTCATCATCTGGCTGGGATGGATGAAAGAACAGTCTAAAGTTCAAGATGGGTAACTACAGACACAAAATGCGCGTCCTTGGTCGACGTGATGTCACTGTCAATGGTGGTAAACGGGGAAGGTTCACTACAGATGGTTTGCCTCCCCACAAGGACATCAAGAGGCCAAGGAAAGGCGAAATCAATTTCCTACCTGACAATCCAGAGGGGATGGATGACTGCAACCTAGAAGCTTCTCGCCAGGTTCTGGTCAACGAGATGATGAAGACGAATCCTAATGGATCCCTTATTAAGAAAGAGATGGCCAAGACTTTTGCTCTTCGGAGAAAATAAGTTGTTGAAGACAATCCTGAGATAAGCCAGATGGTCCAAAGATGGCCAGCTCTTTTCACAGAAAGCCAGGTTTGTTTGTCCTTTTGTGTTCTAACTGTCATGTTATATCCTCATACCTACTTAAATATCTGATTTTATTAAGATATTACTGTGAGAAGTGCAGAGAGGCATCTTGAAAAATCAGATGGTGAAGAAAATGCACTTATTTGTCTCACCAAGGATGATTTTATTTGATAGTTTTACATGGTTTGTTCTCTTTTGTGTTTCAGGTTTATTGCGAGTTCAACCGAGTGGTGGGGAAAAATCTCAAGGACAACTTCTTTGGTGCACTTGACTGTTTCTCTCCGAGCCTGATGGACCTCTTTAGGAAGAAGAAGGGTGTCACTGGCCAATTCCTGTCCGAGCTTTTACGTCAAACAAAGGTGGGTTTACTTAACATCTGTCTACCCAATCTCTTTCCTCTCTCCTTGTTCCTCTTCTGTCCCTTTTACTTCCTTCTCATCTCTTCTTTTCTCTCATTTGCTGTTCTCTGTCTTCTCCTCTTGTCCTGTCAATTTAATTTCATCTTTTCATGTGTCATTGTTTCCTCTTTTCCCTTGTTCATTTTGCTTTGCTCTCTTGTTTTGTTTCCTATTCTATTCTTTGGTCAAGAAGAAGTTATGGTTCTCTCCCTTTTCTATTCTCTCCTATCATGTCATCTCCTTTTGTCCTCTCCTTTAATTTCAAGTATATTTGCAATAAAGTAATTGTGTAGAGTTTGTAGAATGTATTTGATGAATATATGACCATTCTTTGTTATCTCCACTATATTCCAGACCACTGAGCCAACCGACATCAGATGCCTTTGTGTTCGGGGACTGCCAATCATCTTGGGGGATGAGCCTTCTGCCTTCTTCAAGACCTGCACCGTAAGTTACTTTAACCCTTGTGTTATGTTCACATTTTGCACCCTTTGATCATTTTTGGGTGAAATTGACTCGGGACATTATTCAGAGTTTAAAAAAATACGGAACTAAATGCTTACACTATTCCTTATGTATATTTTCTTTAACTAATTCACCAACAATATAAATCAAATATGATAAGTTTTTTAAATATGTACGATGCTTTTCATTATAAACAGTGGAAGCTACTTTTTGGTGGACGATGTAGAATTATATGTCAATCTCTTTATTTCTCTGTTAGGATGCGGCTGATAAGGAGGTGTACAGTCAAACTCCACTGGGAATCCTCTGTGACGGAGAAAATCCTCAGCTCAACCCATCCAGTGTGGCAATCGTCTTGGAGGGGAATGTGGTGATGGATGGACCGGCTAACCTGCCTCAGGCCTTCTATGTCCTGTTCGGACTCATTTATGCCCTGCAACTGGAGTACCCAAAGTGCATGAAAAACACTTTCCACTTTGTTCAGCAGGGGATGTTAAAACTTGGTAAAGTTGAGCTGGCACCCAAAATTCTGACCTTGAAAAATCAGCTTACATTGTGAAACGGGGTTCTGAAAAATTGTTACATATGGCAATTATTTAGGCTTCCATATTGCATTTTGTTGTTGTTGCATGTTTGCACTGTTTGACCTATTAAGCTTGTTGGCATTTCCATTTGTGTTTTATTCTATAATACTGACAACATCTCTCCCAAACTCCAAACAAAACAAAGAAGTCATTTAGAGCATTTATTTGCAGAAAATTACAACTGTAAGAATAACAGAGAAAATGCTGTGTTTTCAAACCTCAAATAATGCAAAGAAAACAAGTTCCTTCATTATTAAACAACACAATACTAATGTTTTAACATAGGAAGAGTTCAGGAATCAACATTTGGTGGAATAATCCAGATCTTTTCAATCACAGCTTTCAATGCGTCTTGGTTGCTCGCCACCAGTCGTCACATTGTTGCTAGATGACTTTATGTCTCTCCTGGCACACAAACTCAAGCAGCTCGGCTGCTTGATGGCTTGTGACCATCCATCTTCCCCTGGATAACATCCAGAGGCTTTCAGTGGGGTTCCAACTGTTCCATGACAGGGTCTTGATCTGGTCTTCCTCCATTCACACCTGAATTGAGCCGAGGGTGGGTTTATCCAGCAGGACAATGCTCCATGCCCCACAGCCAGGGAATATGAAGGAATATGAATGGTCACAAGCCATCACACAAAGCCAAGCTGCTTGATTTTTTTGTGCCAGGAGTGGCTTAATAAGTGACCCAACAGCAATGTGAAAGGTGGTGCAGAGCAGCTAAGACTCATGAAAGCTGTGATTGAAAATCTGGGTTATTCCACCAATTACTGATTCCTGATCTCTTCCCATGTTAAAACAATAGTATTGTGTTGTTGAAAAATGAATTTTAAATTGTTTTCTTTGCACTATTCGAGGTCTGAAAACACTCCATCTTTTTTGGTTACTTTGAAAATTTGGTATTTTTTGTAAATAAACGCTCTAAATGAGAATATTTGGAGTTTGGGATAAATGTTGTCGGTCATTCATTTATAGAATAAAACACAAATGTTAATCCAGTTTTTACAAACAGTAAAACGAGAGAAAGTGATCATTTTAAAGAGGTCTCTTAATTTTTTCAGAGCGATATATATCTTTTCATATATACATATATATATATATATATATATAGAGAGAGAGAGATTGCTATGGTTTAATGTGAAAATGTATGGTACAATATTTTTGCTACAGTTTTTATAGGATGCTCAATTTCATTGTATCCAAGTTTTAATAAAAGGTCAAACTTTATTTTTGTGTCTTTCTTTTTTGTAGTTGACGGAATAAAAAATATAAATACGAAATGTAACCACTTTCAACTAAAAATTCTAAGTTAAATAATTGGGAAAGCAATTGATATTACACAATTATTTTAAAGTAAAATCAACTTCACATGAAGTGCATTGTACTTCAAATAACTAATTCAAGTACTTGAATTAATTTAAGTTAAATTCACTCTAAGTTTTCCTAATGTCTTTAACTTAAAAAAATAGAAAGTGGTTGACTTAAAAAATATAAATACGAAATGTAACCACTTTCAACTAAAAATTCTAAGTTATATAATTGGGCAAAGCAATTGATATTACACAATATTTTAAGTAAAATCAACTTCACATGAAGTGCATTGTACTTCAAATAATAATTCCAGTCCTTGATTAATTTAAGTTTACTCAAGTTTTCATAATGCTTTACTTACATTTTTAAAGGCAACCACTTTACTCTATTTTTTTAACTAGATTCAACTTATCCGGGCTTACAGTGTAAGCAGATTCTCTCTCTCTCTCTCTCTCTCTCTACTTTCAAAATGTAAAACTCATAACAAACAAACAAAATTCCCAAAGTTGTCCTGAAATTATGCAAACAACATTGAATCTGGAATTGAAATGATTCTGATAAGGCCTAGCCTACATTGCAAATAAGCAGACAGCGCTGCTTTTCACACACACACACACACACGCACACACGCACGCACACACACACACACACACACACACACACACACGTGTGTGTGTGTGTGAAAAGCAGCGCTGTCTGCTTATTTGCAATGTAGGCNAACTCTCGATGTGGGAGTGGCATATGTTTGTACACGGTAGGTCTTCTGTGTCTTGTGAGTAGGAAAATGTAGCACACCATCACATCCTGAGCGGCAGGATGCTTACAGGCTGGAGACTGGCGGCCAATGCGAACTCGTCAGTCCGGTTTGAGCCTGCGATGTGAAGCCATCGGAGTTTTTTATTGTCCTTGTCTTCGGTCAGAGACACTCTGCGGATACGGAAAAGAGGCGGACAAGGGCGGGAGGCCACAGCCGACCCGCTGCGACTAGCGGGGGGCCAAATCGGGGGGGGGGGGGCGGCGGGGGAAGAAGACAGAAGATAAGAAACACAGACAGTTGAAAATGGGGTGAAGAAGGTTGAATTAAAAATGTTCAATAAAACTGCAGAACAGAAGAAGAAGATGAAGCCATGAGAGGGTTGTTCAGAAGTGTGTGTTAGTGGAGTCTCTCCTCCTGCTGTGTCTGCTCTGCAGGAGATTACAGAGGATACTGATGTCTCCTCGCGACGTTCTCCTTCCGAAGGGCATTATGAAATTAAGCTTCAATCCCTTTTCAGGTGCACGAGAAAGACTCTTGCCAGGTGGTGGGTAAAAACTCAGATTAGATTCCCAGGCACGATATCTAACCACTCTGTGAGAGGCAGCCCTGTGTAAATGTACATATGGTGGTAACAGCAGTCCTTTAAGGGGCAACTCCTTCAAAGGACGTCCTGTTATGATCGGGTGGGAGGCTTCTCTTCACGAGTGAGCCACGCCATCATTAGCTGTATAGAATACTCAGAACCATAGAGTTGTTATAAAGAGGGATCTTAGTCACGGTGGAGAGCCAGCGTTGGTTGTGTTTTGTAGCACTTTTGGCCACTTGCCATCTGTAAACCAGCCGAGTGACAGTCGCCTCAGTGACAGTAGGAGAGATATGGAGGTTAAGTACAATCAAACCACTGAACTGAACCTGTACAAGAATAAACATTCAATGAACTGACTACACAGTTCGCATTTTTATAAACCGCAAGGTGACAACAAGGTCCCCCCCCCCTAATAATGTACGGTATCTTTGTTTAAAGTTGGACCATTATTCACCAAATTGGCATAGGATTATTTTAATGACCTAAGCATTCTAAACTAGCCTTAAGCCTGTCCATGTCATCCTAAAAATATTTCAGTGAGTTAATAAATCAGGTAAAACCATAATGGGTCAGTTTGCTCAGTAGGCACATTCTCACTTCGGTTAAATGGGTTCCGGTTCGTACCTCACTTGCCGTCGTTCCACTGCGACTAGTCTGCCTCCGCGACAGGGCAGCAGTTGAGAGAGCAAGGGAACCTATGAGAAGCAGGGAAATGAGTTTTAGAACGTGAATGGATCGGTCGCTTTCCTCCGGAGCGTCAGCTTGAAGCGACGTCCGTTGTGCGATGACGCGTGCACAGCCTGAATCGTCTGACGAGCAGCCAGCTCGTGTCC